TGCCTTTTGACCCAGCAACCACACTTCTGGGAATATATTCTGAGAAACCCAAAACACTAATTCCTCCCACATACACACACTGAACAAAGATTTGTCATTTTTGCTTTAAGACTAATGCCTTAAAGGTTGAGAAAATACTGACATCCAGTCTCAGAGCTGTTAGTCGAATTACCTTTAAAAGAGAGTAGAATTCATTAGGGTATCACCTTAATATCTGTAAAAATTGAATAGTCTTACAGATAGGAAATACTGTTCATGAAAGAAAAAGCACAGTATTACATCAAGTCCAGAAGTCTTTACACTTAGAAGGAAATATATTTAAATGTCGTAAGAGCCAAATAATAATGAAATCATACCAGGTGACAGGACAGCCTGGGTGGGGGTTGCAGATTCTCATGAGTAGGAAGAAAAGAGATCATTTAACGTATGACTGCAGCTCAGGAAGACACCTATAGGTGGCTGGGAGACAACTGGTGTGGAGGGTTTGATGTAGTGACTATAAATAGCAGGATTCAGCATGCGCCATTAGGGTCACTGTCAAGAATCCTGTCCCCTTCAATATCAGAGCCCAGTATCTCAACCAGCAGACTCGGTGTTCCCCAAAACTGCCTGGCATAAATGAATAATTTCCTTAACAGTACATCTGTTTTAAAATGGAGTGACTTAGAAATAAATGTACAGAAATGTTTAAGAGAATCAAAACTATAATGTTATTTTGTGTTGAGGAACATGTTTAGAATTTTAGGTATTTATAATTGTAATGCCAGAATAAAAGGCCTTTCTTTTTCTTTGCTGTGGCCTTCCACAGTTTATGAGAAGCACCTGGTCATTAAACCCCAAGATTGTTAGCTCTTCTGATTCAAACAGTCACTCTGTTCTAACTGCAGACAAGATAAGCTCCTCTCAAGGCTACGTTCTTGCATTCCCCCCTCCCCTCTGCTGTATTCACAACTCGGGGATAATTCACACCAAGGAGTCTAGTTAGTAGAAAGTTCCCTTCCCCTTCCCCTTCCAACAAGTCTCTTTTAAACTCTTCATAACTTTTGGTCTAAGCATGTTTTACAGGCTTGGGAAAAATACTGATAAGACACCTCCCTAGGACTGTCTCCTGCCAGACTGTCTCCTGGAAAACAAACAAAGTGTATCTTTTCAAGACAACCTCCCTGGTATCTGCTCAACTTCAAGACAACCCAGACCCCTCCCTTCCTTGTCCCCTAGCAACCTACCTGCTTAAAATGCCAGACCGGCCCTTTGTTTCTAGCCCTTGCACTGCTTAGCAATACACTGGTCCTTTCCCTTGTCAGAGAAAGTACAATAAAGTTTCTTTCTGCATCTCTTGTTTTAGTTGTGAAATCTTTCACATCCCGTCTCACGGGCCCAAACCCTAACAATAATTTTTTTAATGATCTTGCCTATGCAGATTAGAAATCCCATTTACAAATATTCGATTGAGTAACAAATTTAGGCTTATGATGTTAAGATGAATTTTTACTAAGTTTATACACAGTATCGAAACATTCAAGAAAACTTAAGGGTCATCATATTTTTAAGTTTAATAAATTAGATTTATGAGAATAACTTAATTTAGGAAGATTGTCAGTTAATTGAAGGATTAAGAAGGATATCAGCCCAGCCAGTGTGGCTCAGTTGGTTGAGTGTCCCCAGGTGCACTAGGAGGTTGTGGGTTCGATTCCCAGTCCAGGGCGCATGCCCAGGTTGTGGGCTCTATCTCCAGCAGTGGGGATGCATGCAGGAGGCAGCCAATCAACGTTTCTCATTGATGTTTCTATCTCTCTCTCCCTCTCCCTTCCTCTCTCTGAAATCAATAAAAACATTTTTTTTAGAAAGTGTGACGAAAAAGTATATTTAAAAAAAGAAGGCTATCAAAAATATTTAATTCACAAATGCAATTTAAGATGTTTAAGGGGAAGTCTAATTAAGTTTAAAATTGTGCCTGAACATTAAAGTATCCTTAAAATTGAGTTTTAGAACTTGTTAGAATTAAAAATGGAATCATAATAGTCATAAATTGAACTTAAAACTATAAGAAAAAATTAAGTTTTTTCATTTTTACTAGTTTAGCCCAGAAACCCAGTCATTCTATTCACTCCATGTCTTGCCAAGCTTAAAGCGAAAATCTTCCTTTACTGCTATTAATTTAGGGAAATCTCTTTTCTATCATTTCATGCTTGTCCTCTATCTACTGTGTCAGTTTTCTCCATCTGGAATTCACATTCGTCAGAACATAGAATTTCTAAATCTATTCTCTATGCATAAGAACTTTTATACTTTCTATCTATTGACTTCCTGCGTTTTGGAAGAACTCACTTCACAGCTTTTATTTTCATTGTTCCTGTGGTCCACAGTGACACTTGCACTACCTTATTGAGAATACAACCTTGATTAATAAGCCCTATTGTGACGAAATGATGATAGGAGTACGTCCAGATGGCTGTGACCCAACCTCCCATTTCAACAATGAGCTGGAAGCTAACGCAATCAGGGGCTGGAGTTTCCCAAGCAAAGGAGATTGCAGGTTACAGAAATCACTGAGGAGTTGGTATGACATCAACAGCCAATCATGATTTTGCACTGAGTTATATAAATAGTTTCTTTACTTTTAAACACAATCAAATGCAAGCAAAGGAAGTAAGAGATATCCCCAACAGTGGGACTGGGAAAGTTAAGGAACTGAGACCCCAGATTTTTGGAAAAGTTGAGATAAAATACAAATAAAAGTAAGGGAAGTCACCCTTCCCCGGCCCCTTCCTTTGTGAAGGCTTCCATAAAATTACAATAATGGTGTTCAACTTTATTGACTTCAGGGACTAGAGGCAGAAAGCCCCAGACTGTGGACTTAGACCTGAACCAAATGTTCCTCTTCTGAGAACTCACTGGGGTGCATCTCACTCTATTCTCTCGGTGCAGAGTATGGAGGAATGACCACTTCTTCTCTTTCATAAAGACTGTTGGAATATTTACATTTATCAGTTCTCAAAATTCCAGCCTTAATCTGCTTCATGATAATTATTTCTAGAGTTCCTGCTCAGGCCTAGATGCCAGCAATGCCATTTTCATTGTAACTGCCGCTGATGGCTCACTCTCCCCCTTCCCCTTCTCTTTCTTTATTTTTAAATTGTAGCTGACATACAATATTATATGTTTCGGATGTACAACCCCTTGATTAGACATTTATATAACTTATGAAGCGGTTACCTCGGTAAATCTAGTACCCATCTGACACCATATATAGTTATTACAATATATTTGCCTATATTCCCTATGCTGTACCTTACATACCCATGACTATTCTGTAACTACCAATCTATACTTCTTAATCCCTTCACCTTTCGGATGGCTGACTCTTTTGAAACACAAAGTTACCAAAGTCACAGAAACTTGCTACACTAGAAAAGACCCCTGAGATACAGGACACATGTGGGGCAGAAGGCCACGATTACCTGAGGACCTCGGCATGTGCGCCTTTCATCTGCCAGAACTGCAGTTGGTTTTATTGCATTGTTCAAGATCAACGTTTAGGCATCCACATCAATTGTTTTCAACCCTTACATTAAAAAATAAATGTGTCTGCCTGGCCAGCTTGGCTCGGCTGTTGACCATCGATCTACGATCCAGGAGATCGCCTTCAATTCCCTGTCAGGGCACATGCCTGGGTTTCAGGCTCAATCCCCAGTAGGGGGTGTGCAAGAGGCAGCCGATCAATGACTCTCATCATTGATGTTTCTATCTCTCCCTCTCCCTTCAGCTCTCTGAAATCAATAAAGATATATATTTAAAACATAATAAGTACATGTGCCTGAAAACTTGTGAATAGAAAAGCTAATGTGTATAGAAAAAATACCAAATGTCCGAAATTATTTATTCATTTAATAACCTTTACATCTTTAGTTATTTCATTGATACACTCAGAACAATAGGATATACAGTGAGCTATAGGAGATGATCACCCTCTATACTGCATTGTATAGACCTTCCTAAATGCTTTCCTGCGGAACAAAGATAGCACATCTTTCTCATCACTTTTCTAAACTAATAATTTAAGCAGAAGAAACATTTGCTAGTTAAAAGGGAAAATAAAAATAACTGAGTCAAATTAATCTAAAAAAAAAAAAAAAGAAGAATGTATCCAGTTCTTTGGCCTAAACAATGCACTCACCTTCCTCTTCAGTGTCACTGTAATCATACCAGACCAGGACAGCCTCCTGGATTTGTCAGTGCTTCTGGGATGGCAGGGAGCCCAAAGGATTTAACTGCCCACATTTCACTTCCAGCTGCCCGCTAGACTGCCTCTTTTCCTCCATATTTGAGTCACCCCTCAAGGATTCCTGGAGCCCTCCTTACCCTTTCTGTCATGGCAGAAACTGGCCGTCGACTAACATTGTAAAAAATTAGCTATCTCCATGCTTCAGGTTTGTCTCAGAGACTCTATATTTATAACATGTGGCATTCAGAAAGGGCCCCATGATTCATCCAATTCAATTCCCTTACTTTAAAGAGAAGGATATGGTGATTGCTCAAGCCCTAGAGGCTGGTTGGTTAATGGTAGAGCCAGAATTAGAAACAAGATTTCTTGACTTTCCACTGGGGTTTACTTAGCCCACAGACCATGTGAGGGCTCTGACATTTTACCCAGATATTCCATAAAAGCTATTCCTTATTTTAACCCTTCAGCTATTTCAGCAGATGGGATGGGATGGTGGCCATGCTATGCTATTGATGACTTTTTACTCTATAGATAATATCACGACTCTCCTTTCCCAGTCTCTTATGGCTTTGCGACCATATGTTCTAGGGATCATCCCTTTTATCGTCTCCCAAAGAGTGTCTAGTTCAGGATGACTCTGGTTCACTTTTCCCAGAGGAGAAATTAGGTGTTACAGAAAGACAAGTCTCATCAAAAAAAGAATTTTGGTGTCACACAGTTTTCTCTTCATGATGTAAAGGGGGGGGGGGTGCATTTGAAAAACAACGATTTGGGGTATCTGAACCAAGGTCCACGTATTCATTTATTTCTCATTGCAACAACAAGATAAACAAGTGTAGTTCCATGTTTAACAAGTACAAATGGTAGTAAGCCCAGGAACCTTGAGCATATCTATAAGGCAAAAAAACACACAAATGCTTTTCATAGTACGAGCATCAGACTTGAGGTGACCTGGGAAGAGTCACTCCAGGTCCTGAAGACCAAGTCTGATGTGTAAAATGAACTTATCATCTGAAGTATTTTCAAACCTAAAATAAAACATTAAAATTCAAATACTTTAACAAAAGTCAAAATATGTCCAATATACCTCAGGAAGAATCATCCTCAGCCAAACAAAAGGTCAAGAAACAAAAACAATGCAAAAAAAAAAAAAGAAAAAGAAAAGTTCATCCAGAAAGACAAGATGCCCATCAAAATCACATCTCTTCTTCTGATTCTTGTTCTCGTTCAACATTTTTCAGGAGTCCAACTTCTGAGGGGCAGAACCTGTTAAGTCGAGATTTAACCAACCTGAGGAGAATGAAAGGCATCTCAGGTTATGGTGTTTAAGATTAAAAGCCCAGAGCAGTACATATTTATAATTCAACAAACTCCAAATTTTTTGTGCAAGTGGGAGAAGTACCCCAAAAGAGAATATCACTTTTAATTTGTCTTTGGATATACCTGAAAATTTTTTGTGGATTAAATTAGGGTAAAATAAGTAAACAGATTCAATGTCGCTTTTGAATGCATAACATGATTATTTGATTAGGCATCAGAAGATGCCTAATTATTCATAACTTTTATCATTTCTAAAACAAACAAGACAACCTCTGGGCTGTAGGAAGCTCAGATGAAACCAAGCTCAGCCAAGCTTTTCCAAGTCCGCACCTAGCTGTGTATTCTAAGTAGGAGCCCTCTTCTGAAAGGAAGTGCACAAAGGCATCTCCTTCCCCATGTCAAATCTGGGCTGTATTGCGGCCCCTATTGGTGCCTTCAGAGAGCTGCTTTTGTGCAAGCCACAGGCTGCTCCACTGCATGTGATGGTCCATGATGAATTAAGAAGTTAGAAGAAGTGCACTCTATCCTTGTGACTGTTTTCATAGATTAATAGAATCTATCGGATGGGGGGAAGCAGCAATGATAATTTTTGACATTGGAAGATGCTAAGCTTTTTAGCAGCAGAAACTCAGCAGGCTCTCCCCTTCTCTGATGTTAGTAAGAATTAGAAAAAGTTTTTTCTGTGCATGATTGTTTGTAAAAATGTTGTACTGTGACCATATCAATAAAATATAGTTAACTTCCAGAAATACATAGGAATATGCAAACAAACCGGATAAAACGAATCATCAAAATCATTCTAGTTTTATGAAAAACTCCCAGTCTGTCTGCATTTTTACCCTTATTTTCTGCCTTTCTTCTTCTCCCAATGAAGGCCTGGCCTACCTCTATCAATATGCATTGTCTTTACTTGTGCTCTGGATCCCACTATAATATAAGGTTCGTAAGAGCAGAGACCTCATCTTATTTACTGCCCTAACCCCAGCCAGAGTCTAGAACAATGTCTGGCATATAATAGTGGCTCAATACACATTTGATAAATCAATAGCCTTTGGAGCCATCTACCAGGAGTTCATATCACTCACCTGTTCATAGATAATTCATAATTCTTCAGTCACTTCCCACTCAGCACTAACTCTTCCAATACATAACAACAACTGAGCAGTGTTCAGTAACATCTATTGACTCACCAAGAGCCAAGGAAAACTCAAAATCACTTGTCTTAATTATTAATTGACAATTGATGCTGCTTTGCTGCTTCCAATGTCCTCAATTCCTCAAGGCATAGTTCTCATAAGTCTTATACTTTCATGTTAAAGTCTGGGACAGCGTTTGTGTCACTTTTTAAAACCCACACAGTTATTTCTTTTCTTTCTTTTTTTTTCCTGTCCTCACCTAAGGATATTTTTTCCATTGCTTTGCGTGCAACCAAGGTATGTGTGTGCCCTTGGCCAGAATCGAACCCAAGACTTTTCAGTCTGCGGGCCGACACTCTAACCACTGAGCCAAACCGGCTAGGGCTCCACACAGGTACTTCCACATTGTACAACTTCAATGCATGCTAAATGAAATGGATTAATTTGTTACTTTATTCTTAGATTTATTCCTGATTACTTTTGTGGAAAATAAAACAAAGACATGGCTGCTTATTACAAATTGTTAACACAGACCCTAGTGGTTTCTCCTGTTCCCCCTTCCTCCTCTCTGGATTGTATCTGCTGTTGCTACAAGCTGTGAAGATGAATTTTCAGATGCTTTAAACAGGCTCTATCTGCACCTTGTAGCTCTAGGTATTGGCACATGCAGAAATGGCCACTGGATACAGATTGAGGGATGGAGTAAGAAAAGGAAATGCAAATAATTACTAGTTCCTGGAATGACGCAAATCCAGGGAAATAAGGTCAAGGTGTGTCTGGGCTTTTCTTTGCATATGTTCTCCTCAATTAATATGAGAAAGAACAGAGCTGAGACTCTGGGTGTACTTCCAGAGTTTATCGGGAAATCAAACTTCTGGAAGGCAAATCATCATATGCCTGGAATTTTGTCATCTCTATTTTGTTCTTCAAAATGGCTCACATGAATCATTGCTTGGAAAACCAACCCGAAAATGGTAATATTTTTCAACCCATAGAGAAGAGCTTTTGAAATAGTTCTGTGTAACAGAGGTGTTTAAATATGAAATTCAGTAAAAAGTAATAAGATTTCCAAACAGATAGGTTTCTCCTATGAGCTGTCATAATCAAGATTGCAAGCATGGGATTGGATGAGGCAATCTTTGAACCATTTTTCTGGAAAACTGAGAAGTTTTTCTGGAAAACAGCTTCATTTTTCAGAGATTTGGGGGGCAGTGGTTCCATAACTTCATTTCGTTTCTGTGGTAGGCAGTTAGACGGACATGAGCAGAGTAAAAACAATGGGCCAAGTACAGAAGGTCACCAGGGTGGAAAGTCCTGGATGCCTAGAAAAGGACAATTGTAGGGCGGGACCTCACCCCCAGGGTGACCTTTTCTCCCCTAGCATATTGTTAATCATGTGGTTTGGACCCCCTGACCTTTCCTCCCTAGAGATAATATTTAGGCCTCAGTTATATTTCAGCTCCAGGCCCAAAAAAGCAGCAAAACCAGACAAACAACCCCACAGGCTGACCTCAGGACCAGCTGCATTGAATAAAGACCCCTTGCCCTGGCACCAACCAATCAATCAGTGGAGACCTAGAGAGACCTTGAAAGAACACACTTGGAAAGCTGCTGAATATTCTATTGAGATCTTCCCCTGGGTGCTCTCCTAAAATCTCTATCCTTAAAATCTATAGGATGGAGGATCCAGCACACTCACTCCTGGGAGCATGCCTGCACCTTTCCCTTCCCCTTCAACCTCCCCTCCTGCTTGGAGATTACCATTACCTTCCTCACTCCCAATCTCCAAGGGCCCTTTCTTTGCCTCTATAACTTGTTTCCTAAGCCGATTTATTCTATGAATTACTTCTTCCACCTCTGTGATTTGCCAAATAAATGTTCTCTTATAGTTTGAGTCTTGGCTCTGAATTCTTTCCTAACCAGAACTCATGTACCGAGGTTGCTGAATCCAGGTCCTATCTGACCCCATGAGTCTAACACCTGGTGCCGTTCCCACTGCCTACAACACTTCCATGGTGATTTTTGTGTTATGTCAAACAAATTCTGATACAATGTCCTGAAAAATCCACCACCTATCACTGAATCATAAACCACTCAACAGTCAAACCCTGACAAGATTTTCAAAGCTCCTCGTCACCACAGGACTGAATTAGCTTGCCATGTGACATCACTGCAAGTCAGTACTGACTCTTCATGACATTTTTTAAGCTATTGCTTAAGTTCATATAAAAATATGTCAGAACATGAGCTCGTCTTATATTTTCAAGAGCAACATGAGAACAAAACTTAAAAGCATATAAAACATGATTTCCAAACAAATGAAGCATATATTCAAGTAACTCTGAAATAGATCTATTAAAACAGATTAAGTGTTTGTTGAGTACCTACTATATGCTTGACAGTGTTCCAAGAGCTGTGAGAAATATGAAAAGGGTCTTTTGCTCAAGGCAACACTATCTAACACTAACAGATAAGACTAACATGAGCTACGCCCAAATATCACATGATAGATCACAATTGTTAAAATGAGTGGTAGAGACTAAAATGTTATAAAAACTCATGAAGGAAGATAAGCAAGGGCTAGGATAATCACAGAAGTTTTGTAGAGGGGATAGGCATTTATTTTGATATGCCAGGTAGAGGGAACTGTGTGGTCAAAAGGTTAAAGGGAGGGGAGACAGGTTGAAAAAATAAACATGGAGTTTCTGGTTTCCAGAGAACTGTAAGTGGTTATGAGTCATGAGAGGTCTGAAGATTTCTGAAACAAGAAAAGACCGTAGTCTTCTTTTGGCTCTGGAAAGGAGATGACATGCAGTAGAGAGGCTCCCTGAATGTTGGCATTGGTCTTGGAGGCTGCCCAGCCCCTAAGGAGATGAGGCCCAGATGTCAGCCTAGAACAATAGAGGAAGAAGCCAAGATTCACTCAATAGCAGAGCCAGCCTTAACAACCAGCTCATGCACATGCTTTAGGGAAATGGAATAGGACTCATAGAAATTAATCAATGAGAAGATAAAATTTCCAAGCACCAAAAGCACTTAGATCTCTAGGAAGAGGCAACTATGGATCAAAGTGGGCTGATCCAAAGCCTAGCAGATACATCTGGGAGCCATTTTCCTGAATGGTTTCCTTACTCAGAAAACCAACACCAAAGATGCTTCAGAAGCTCAAAGAAGCACAGAGCAGGAGAGGTGACATGGGACTTGAGTCTAGAGAGAAGAGTAGAAAGCTAATTTTGGTGGGGGCTGAGACTCCACTGGACCAAAAGCAGCTACTACATTTTAGGAATCTAGAGAACCTGCTAGTTGTGTACTGTCCATCTGGTGGTCACAATGAATATGGATATTTAAATTAATTAAAGTGAATGCAACACTAGGAACATGTCAACATGCTCAATAACATGCAGCTCATGGCTATGATAAAGAAGGCTGCAGATAAAGAACATTTCTATCAGTGCTGAGGTCTAAAGGATTAGGTATTAGAGGCTGCGTGCCTAGTAGTTAGGATCAGCCTATCCACTTATGGTTTGGCATTAGCTACCTTGGAGAGAGGACCCATGTTCACCCCCTGCTAGTCCTACTCATCCTTCAAACTTCAGCTTAATTCTCAATTGTGAGGAGGCCTCCTCTGATTTCCAATAGTGCTTTCTTCTTCTACTATTTTCACTTGTTGCATTGCACTTAAATCATTCATCTCTCCCCAGAGGGTCTATATTTATGCATTTTTGATACAGAAGAAAAAAGAGAAGAACAACACAAATAACTTTCTTTGAGCTCTTTTTATGGCCTGAGCAGTTTAAATACATGATCTTATTTAAGTTCTGTTATTATCCCCATTTTGCAAACAACAAAACTAAGACTCAATGTGGTTAAATAATCTGCCCAAAGTCATACAGCTATAAGAGCAGAGCAGGAATATGTGTTCTTATCAATCAGCTCTATTGCTCTTCACCCATGATATTGTATCAGGGCCCTTGTAAAAAGATGTATTGTTCAAACGAATCTTACTTTTAGAAATATCAGAGTAAATGTCAAATGAATCAGATACTCAAATTTAAGGGAGACTAAATGACACCAGCCCTGGCAGGTGTGGCTCAGTTGATTGGGCATCATCTGGTGCATCAAAAGGTTGCCAGTTCAATTCCCAGTCAAGGGCACATGCCCAGGTTGTGGGCTCAATCCCCAGTAGGGGGAGTGCAGGAGGCAGCTAATCAATGTTTCTCTTTCATTGATGTTTCACTCTCTCTCCCTCTCCCTTCCTCTCTCTCTAAAAATCAGTAAACTATTCTTTAAAAAATAAATGACACCAAGTTTGGGAAATGCTATAATTGATGTACACCTAGGCAAATGGAGGGCTGCAGGTGTGGGGAGCACCATTCATTAAAGGAAGGAACATTTGCAAAGGCATGGAGGCACAGAAGAGTATGTTGAAGGACGATTCATAGGTCAGAGGCACAGCAGAGACACTGCTGAGCTATTCTAACTTTAAGCCAGCATTCATTCTTTCTATTGGAAAATTCTGTTTGTAGATAAATTTCTGCTATATTACCCTGTCTGGCGGAATGCTAAGGAATAAAATCTCCCTTTGAACTTTAACTCAGTACTATCAAGTCTTGTTGATCATATACCAAGAAATAGAACTTCCATGAACAAAATTCACTAACTTACCAGGTGACAAAAGCATAAATCACTCCAATGACGATAAAGGTGAATGCATAATGCCAACAAAAGCATATGGTGAGAAACATAATGTTGTCATGATCCAGTAGATCCCATGCAGGACCTCCACTGGGGGGATAAAGGACAAAACCAATCTGCAATTTAAAACAAAAAGCACACATTAAAATAATCAACCACATTTCAAAATGCTTGGTTCCAAGATTAATGGTAACCAAGATAATTCCCATTATCTGAAATGCTACAGAGAAGACATCAGGTTTTATTGCCTGTTTTAGTAATATAAACAGTACCTAGTAGGTCATATTTTGGGAAAAAAAAATTTAAGGACATTTAAAGATTAATTACAAAATATGAATAGTAATCATCTCTGGGGATTGGTAGACTTTCAGAGAATGTACTTAAGTATCTAAATTGTGCAGTTTCACTTGGTGACTTCAAAATCAGAGTCCAAAACAAGTTTTAAAATACATAAATGCTCACAGCTATCGCTATATTTAATGATAAAAGGCTGAAAGTTTTCCCCTTAAGATCAAGACAAGACAAGGTGTCTGATTTCACCACTTCTATTCAACATTATACTAGATATTCTAGTCAGAACAATTGAGCAAGAAAAATAAATAAATGACATCTAGATTGCAAAGGGAGAAGTAAAATTATCCAATTTCACAGATGACACACACACACATATAAAACCCTAAAGAAAACACCATTAGAGCTAATAAATTAATTCAACATACATGCAGGATACAAAATTAACATACAAAAGTCAGTTGTATTTTCAAACACATGCAATGAGCAAGCCAAAAATTAAATTAAGAAAACAGTTCCACTTGTCATAGCATTGAACAGAATAAAATATAGAAATAAATTTCTAAATATTTTTATTGATTTTGAGAGAGAGGAAGGGAGAGGGAGAGGGAGAGAGAAACATTGATGTGAGAGCAAAACATCGATTGGCTGCCTTCTGCATGCCCCCCACCAAGAATTGAGCCTGAAACCCAGGCATGTGCCCAGACCAGGAATCAAACCAGCTACCTTTTGGTGCATGGGATGATGCCCAACCAATTGAGCCACATCAGCCAGGGCTAGAAATAAATTTAATAAAGGTGGTGCAATACTTGTACACTGAAAACTATAAAACATTGTTGAAAGAAACCAAAGAAGATCTAAATAAGTGAAAACACATCTCATGTTCATGGACTGGAATATTTAACATTAAGATGGCAATAACTCCCCCAAAAATTCCAATAGTCTTTTCTGCAGAAATGGAAAGCTGATCCTAAAACTCATATGGAATTGCACAGGCATAAAAATAGCCAAAAAAACCTTGAAAAAAAAGACACACACAAAAAAGTTGTAAGACTTACACTTACTGATTTCAAAACTTATTACTTCATGACTCTCAATTCTGTTCCATTGGTCTGTGTTTAGCCAGTACCATACTGTTTTGATTACTGTAGCTTTATAGCATACTTTGAAGTCAGGGAGAGTGATGTCTCTGGCTTTGTTCTTTTTTCTCAGGATTGCTTTAGCTATTGGGAGTCTTTTGTGGTTCTACACAAATCTGATGTGTGTTTTTTTTTGTTCTATTTCTTTAAAAAATGACATTAGGATTTTGATGGGGATTGCATTAAATCTGTATATTGCTTTGGATTATATGGACATTTTTAACTGTGTTGATTCTTCCAATCCATGAACACGGAATATCTTTCCATTTCATTGTGTCTTTTTCAATCCCTTTTAATAATGCTTTGTTGTTTTTAATATATAGGTCCTTCACATCCTTTGTTAAATTTATTCCTAGGTATTTTATTCTTTTTGTTGCAATTGCAAAAGGAATTGTGTGTTTTTTTCCATTTCTTTTTCTGAAATTTCATTGATAGCATACAAAAAACAGTGGATTTTTTTACACTGATTTTGTATCCTGCAACTTTACTGTATTTGTTTATTGTTTCTAATAGTTTTTTGGTGGAGTCCGTAGGGCTTTCTATATACAGAATCATGTCATCTACAAAATGTGACACTTTTACTTCTTTATTCCCAATTTGAATGCCTATTATTTCTCTTGTCTGATTGCTCTGCTTAGGACTTCCAGAACTAAGTTGAATAAGAGTGGTGAGAGAGGGCATCCTTGTTTTGCTCCTGATTTTAGAGGAGAGCTTTCGGTTTTTCACCATTGAGTATGATATTGGCTGAGGGTTTATCATATATGGCCTTTATTATATTGATGTACTTTCCTTTTATACCAATTTTATTGAGTGTTTTAATCATAAATGGGTGTTGTATCTTATCAAATGCTTTTTCTGCGTCTGTTGATAAGATCATATGATTTTTATCCTTTATTTGTTAATGTGTTGTATTACATTGATCTATTTGCATATGTTGAACCATCCTTGTGTCTCTGGAATGAACCCCACTTGATCATGATGTATTATTTTTTTAATGTATTGTTGTATTTTATTTGCTAGTATTTTGTTTAGGATTTTTGAATTTGTATTCACCAGAGATATTGGTCTGTAGTTTTCTTTTTTTGTGTTATCTTTGCCGGGTTTTGGTATCAGGGTTATATTGTCCTCACAAAATGTGTTAGGAAGTATTACCTCTTCTTCAATTTTTTGGAAGAGTTTGAGGAGGATAGGTATCAACTCTCCTTTGAATGTTTGGTAGAATTCACTAGTGAAGCCATCTGGTCCTGGACTTTTACTTTTGGGGAGGGTTTGGTTTTCTTTCAAAGGGAAAGCCTTTTTTTTTTTTTTTAAAACCTCACCAGAGGATATATTTTTATTGATTTTAGAGAGAGAGGAAGTGAGAGAGAGAAAGAGAGAAACATAGATGTGAGAGAGAAACATCGATTGGTTGCCTCACTTATGCACCCCAACCAGGGATTGAACCCACAACCTAGGTATGTGACCTAACTGGAAATTGAACCTGGGACCCTTCTGTGTACGGGATGACCCTCCAACCAACTGAGACACACCAACCAGGACCTCTTGGAGAGGTTTTTGATGGTTGTTAAAATTTCCTCACTGTTGAACAGTCTATTTAGATTTTCCATTATTTTATGATTCAGTCTAGGAAGGTTATACATTTCCAGGAACTTACCCATTTCTTTTAGGTTATTGAATTTGGTGCCTTATAGTCGTCCATAATATTCTAGTATGGTCCTTTGTATACCTATGATGCCTGTAGTAACTTCTCTTTCATTTCTGGCTTTGCTTATATGGGTCTTATGGTTCCAAGAGTCTAGGTGTATATTTTCTCCAATCTGCCTGTACATTGTTTATGCACTAGTTTAAGCACATATGGAGAAGTAGCAAGAGAAAAATATAGTGAAAAGAAAATCACTATGTAGGATTATTAGCTTAAGAGACAGTTTTGGCCATAAACATTCATATATCACTGCAACAAAACATGGACGCATAATAAATTTACCTAAGTCCCCAGACTTTTTTTTCACTTTCAGAGGAATCTCATGATGGGGAGAGGTAGTGTGGCTAAACCTTCACTTCCTGCCAGTGTGTGTTTGCATTGGTGTTAAATGTTCCTTTTTCCTTAAGGCTTCATACGTTATTTGGTCTGGCCACCAGGCAAAAAAAGAAACTAGTCTAGACACACGGATAAGTAGAAAAAATTTTAAATAATCACAGGTTGATGCCCAAAGACCTCAACCTCATAGCTCTTCCTCAGAAAAGTTTTAGGAGAAGAAAACATTATTTCTCTGCCAAAGGGGCAACTTTAAACCAATAGACTCTCAGTTGTGACAGCCCACATCTTCCTTCCTCAGATCTTTAACTAATTATTAATTATTAATGTACACTAATCAGTTTAATTAATTCTGCTTTTATCTTTATTATTCTTTTCTTCAACTATCTTTGAATTTTCCCTTTTGACCTTTAACAAACTTGAGGTAGTAAATATATGTAGAACCCTGAACCCAAAAAGACAGAATATACTTTCTTTTCAAATACGTGGAACATTTGCTGCCACTGACATTGGGCTATGTCCCAAAGGAAGTCTCAACACATTTCAAAGAGAACACATCCTCTGACTGAAAGCAATTAATTAAATTGGAAGTGAATATGCTCTAGCCAGTTTGGCTCCGTGGTTAGAGTGTTGGCCTGCAGACTGAAGGGTCCCGGGTTCAGTTGCAGGCTCGATCCTGGCCCTGGCAACTAGTTGATATGTCTCTCTCACATCATGTTTCTCTCTCTCTCCCTTCTACTCTCTCTTAAAAAACAATGGACAAAAATATCCTCAGGTGAGGATTAAAAATAAAAATAAAAAAATTAATTGGAAGTGAATAAGAAGAAGAAAAAGGATATTTTTGGAAACTTAAAAGTATACTCCTAAATAACTCATATATAAAAAAGGAAAGCACATGCAAAAATGCAACATTCAAAATTGCCCAAGAGTGAAAACTACCACACATCAAATCTTAAGGGAGGTAACTACAGCAGTGTGTAGAGGAAAATCTATAGCCTTAAGTGTATTTGTCTAAGAACACGAAAGATTGAAAACAAATGAGCATTCAACTAAAAAAAAAAAGAGAAGCAGAATACAGACTAATAACATTAAAGCAAAAAATGAAAGTAAGGAGAAATTGACAAACCCATAACTATAATACAAATACTTTAAAAGACTTCAATCAAAAAGTGAGGTATCAATGGGTTGAAGGGATTGAGAAGCACAGACTGGTATTTACAAAATAGTCACAGGGGTGTAAAGCACAGCATAGGCAATGTAGTCAATAATATTGTAATAACTATGTATGGTGCCAGGTGGGTACTGGAAATATTGGGGGGAACACTTTGTAAAGCAAATTATTTTCCAACTACTATGCTATAAACCTGAAACTAATACAAAATAATACTGAATGTCAACTGTAATTGAAAAAAATTAAAAAGGAATATAGAATGTATAAACAACACAATTAAAGAGTTACAAAAGCCTGGCTTCGTTCCTCACTTTAAAAGGAATTCTTTTAGTTTAGTTCCACTGGAGCCAAACAACCAACCATCACTGTGTGCTCTAGACCCGGAGCCCACAGGCCTACAGGCCAGAGCTTCTCCCGCTATGCAGTTCTGTTCTGCATCTGGCCCACAAGGGGGCTTGCCCTGTTTTTGTTCATACTATTTAACTGCAGCTAGGCATTTTTAATTTTTTTATTTTTTGTTTGTTTATTTTCTTCTTTTAATTTCTTTTTTATTTTTATAAGTAGTTTTGATATTTTATCTGTCATTGTTATATGTTTGGAACAGAGGAGATACACTGAAATGTAAAGTCACTGTGTCATCTTGACCGGAAGTTATCTCTTCAAAAATGTTTTAAATTCAAGATTCCAAAATGGTGGCAGATTGAGTAGAAGCTACACTGACACTCTCCCAGGACCAAACTGGAATTACAACTAAAATATGGAAAAAACATCCTGAATAATCAACTGCAACTGAAGACTAGCTGGAGAGCACCCTCATAACCAAGGAGGAGAAGTGGAGACGGCAGAGAGACTGCCTTCAGGTGGCACCAACACGCAGAAGAGGGCAGAGCCAAGAGCTTCTTAGAGGAGGGAAGTGATAACTGGACATGACTCCAGCAGTCCACTCTACTTTGGCATTTATTATGAGAGTTAAATAAATCTCCTTATTTTTTGTCATTAAAAAAGTTTTAAATTTATCTTTATTTGTCAATAGGTAATAATACATACACACGGTAAAACATCCCAACCAGGAGATATAGAATGCATAATGATGTTTCATATTCCATTCTATTTATGTTCTCAGAAGATGACAAATAATCTAAAAAAAACCAACTTCTCTATGTAAATTGACCAATTATTAATTTTATCACATTATAGGACATTTGTTACTTTTCCTATATCATTTTTTCTTCAAAGTGACTCTGAAATGTAGCCCCTCTTTACTGGCCTCTGCTCCAACAGCCTTTCTACTCCTCACATGCTTAAATACACATCTTTCCTATCCTCTGTTTTGACCATGATGTTCCTCTCCCCCTTGCCTGCCAAAGCTTCTTCTCATTCCTCTTGTGAAATTCAAGTTCCTGAAATAACCTCATGGTCCCAAACCCCTGCTCTCTCGTGACTAAAAATCACTTCTAAGGAGTCTTTCCTGATTAAACTACAGGAAAATGATTTCCCATTTTCCGTAAAATACCTGTTCACCGATTGGAATATAATTTTTCAACAACACATGAAGGTTAGGAATTTGATGGAGTAAAACGGAAAGAACCTGGGATTTGGGGTCACACACCCACATTTAAATTCTGCTTCCATTATTTTGTGACACTGGGAAAGTAACTTGGTCTCTTTGAGTTTTCCTTATCAGAACATGCTGAGAATGATAATATCTAACTTACAAGTCATTGTAAGGACATAATGAAACAATATGTGCGTGAAAGGCCTGTATAGTTGCTGGCCCTTAGTTGTTTCTCAATAAATAGTAGTTTCCTCCATTTCCTGCCTTTCATATTTTTCTCAAGCTTACTATCCATTAGGTTGTAAGTTGCTTTCGCGTCAGGAACTACTTCCAACTAAAAGCACCAGCTCAGAGTTCCTATACAGTGGATGGCCAGGTGGGTGATGCAGATGGGCACACCCCGCTTCATTGCCCATTGCTGTCATTGCTCCCGCCAGGGTTGCTCTTGGAGGCCCACATTCTCGCTACAGCAGCACATCAGGAGGAAGTCTCTTGTTTCTAGGGCAACATGCCCCACCAAACAAAGAGAGGAGGTTATAGGTGGAGACACCACGTACGTTAGCTGGAGGCCCCAACTCACCTGCCAGAACCAGCTCCCCTGAAGCAGGATAAAGCTCATGAGCAGAAGCTCCACGGTTACATTGGAGCGTATGAAGAGCTCCATGAAGGCAACCAGGCCTCCCAAAAAGATGACCAAGACCAGCAGCTGGTGGACAAAGACGTCCAGAATTTCCCGGCCATGGGTGTGGTTGTAGAAAATAAAAGCTGACAGAAAGGGGAAAAATAGTTTGTATTTTTAAATGAAACCAGTTTCTCTTCCCATCCCGTCTCTCCACAGAATTTTACACGTACACACATTTGTTCAAAATATCTGGTGCCCACTGCTTCCCAGCTTCCCACAGTAATGACATTTTAGGAGTCATCGCCACGTCTTTAGAATGGAATTTTTGAAATCTAACACTCTTTTCCCTTCCCCAGCCTTTATTCTCTCCTCCCACACAGCATGATGCTTTCAACTAACTGTGTCTCAAAGCATCTTCAGCACAGGAAGATGAACAATAACTGTGATGAGTGTGGAGAGCAGGAGTTAGGGTGACTGCACAGATGAGTGAGACAAAGCCTCAAGTTAAGGAATTCAGTCTGTTGGAGGAAGCAAATATATACATAAATCACGAGATGCTCTGGAAGCTCCCAAGAAGTAGTAGCTAACTACATTTCTTAATCTCATGGAAAGATTACAGCTTCATCATCTCTTTTCATTTAGATGAAGGAGAAAAGGTGTTTCTTAAAAATATCGTAACACCCTGAGATGATAAGACTCAGGTTGTTGGTGCCCATCTTTTATCTAGCCCTTGTTCTCAAAGAAGGGTTAACCAAAGTCCTTTATCTTCACATGTGGCAGGCAAGGTGGACAGTTAGGAAATGACTGTCTCTTGATAATTTGGGATTTTTTAGTTCCACAATCAATATGTTCATTATAAATAACAATAAATGAAAACAGATCACTAAACACTTCTTTTCAGTGTTTCCCCGTACAGCAACAGGAGGCCAACTGAAAAAAATGTTCTTCATTTCTCTCTCAAAAACAGGACTTCATATTTTTATGTGACTGAGTTTTTTTGGAGTAACTATATCAATATAAAAAAGACTAGTTAGGCGGTGGAAGCTACTCTGCTGTGTCTTCTCAAACAGGATATTCATGTTTCACTACTCTGAGCTCAGTTTCACTTTTAAAAACAAAAATCACGATAATCTCCAGGATAACCCAGGGATAAATAATCGTGGCAGGTGATTCTTTAAGACAGATGTGAAATGTGAATAAAGCACTTTTAGTGATTGTGCTTGTTCAGTTTTACTAAATGAGTCAGTAGGGAGGGAAAATATTTGGCATCCTACCTAGGGCATCAAATAGTTCACCATGGCCCAAATTGGTAACCCATGGGCCAACGCTGCACCAAGACACTACAGGAATATTATTATAAAGGGCTAGACAAATGTCCAATAGTAGTGAAAGCTACAGGAAAATACTCGCTCATACTTACCCTCCACAAATAAGGCATTGGACAGCATTAACTTGCTTAAAGAGGTAGGAAGTGAACTGATGGTGGAACACAGGATGTTTGTCACGCCCAGCAGTCCAAAGAAGAAATACATGGTAGTGTGATGCCAGCCCAGGAGCTGGATCCACCGGCCTTCTTTATAGTTATACAAGGACAGGTGGGGCCCTCCAACAATAAACTGTTCCCCAAGCATACCTGTAGAAGAATATATTAAAGTTTTAGTAACTCTCTTCATAACTTTACCAAGAAAGCGGGAAGATGCAGGAGGAGTAGCCCACTGCTTAGTCCAATCTAGTGTTCTTTTATGGCATTAATTCTTATTTCTGGGATGTTCCCTAGTAGCTGAGCAGTGGTGGTTTAGGCTTGTTTTAGAGGTTCAAATATTGGTTTGGATAATCACTTTTAATCAAAGACAATCAATTCAGTCAAACAGCTATTTCAGACCTTTAAAGCTGAAGATTTAGTTCTACTTAGTTTCATGATCAGCTCCACTAATGATCTTAATTCCTACTTTACTATAATGACTAAATAAATCCTGAATGATTTGGGGTTTGGATTTGTAAGATCAGTCCCACAGAGGCTGATTACTCCTTTCTACATGCTCTGTCTCTGGGTAGCTGCCACAAAGTAGGGAGTCGTGGTTGGTTCAGTATAAAAATGCTAGAGCTCAGCTTTTTCCCAATTAAGGGTAACTGAGAAAGCACAGACAGACATAGTATATAGTCTGGCCAGCTACACACAGTTAAACTTTCTTGAAAACGCTGCCTTTTTTGTTAATCTATAGAATTTGGCACAGAAATTTCTCTCTTGGGAAATGGTTGTTCTGTAATGTGATGGCCATAGCAAAGACCCATGGCCATGAATTAAGCATGAAGAAATCCAAAGGAAATTTGGAAGTTTAGCCCTTCATAAAGGAGAGACTGAAGTGAAATGCTAAAAACACAGGGCATTTTTACAGAATCTTATAGTCAATGGAAAGGCCTTAGAAGTCGTTGTACCTAACTCCCTCTTCAATTTAGAAAGCACACAAAAGGGATGAGTGCATGAGGTAAGTCTTCTTCAGCCTAACTCTCTGTACAGCTTATTATCAGTGATTATTATTGAAGTTTTCCCATAATCTCTTGATTATTTTGATATCATTTTGAAAAATGGTTCTGATGAAATTTACTCTTTCAGGCATCAGAATACTTGGTATAAAATTATTTCAGAGGCTCCAGCTAATTGTATAAAGGAAATTAACCCTGAGTGGGCAGGTAAGTTAATTAGCATGACTAACTCATTAAGGAATAAACCTTTGTATGAATATGATATATCACCTTCTAACAATTATATAAGGTAGAAATTATAATTAGAATATATGTTCAGAGATATTTTAAAGTAAAAATTCTTTTTAGCAATTTCTTGACTTGATATTAAATCTTCTCTTTGCATGTGAAAATATCCAAAAGGAGAAAACAGAATACAGAAATAGTCCACTTACCAATTAAAGCCATGCAGATTACTACAATTCCCTCCACAATATCGATTCGATGGAATAATGCTTTGGAACCAAGATAGGAAGTCCGCTTGTGCTTTCTGTAGGCATACTTCAGAACGCACTTCAGAGTCCACCAAATACCCATGATGAAGAAGAAAGTTCCGGGGAGGGCATGACCTTTGAAACTCCCCATGACTACTGAGATAAGAACATACAGAAGATGAAAACATTTTATTTCCAGAACTTAGCCAAAACATCGCTTGTTCCCTGTCTTCTGATGATTATGGATATGCCACTGATTCAGAGGAAATGATAAAATGATATTACTGTCAACAGTAGTAGATCCATTACAATATCAATAATACCAGTAAGAAGAAAAAGTCTCAGTCTTTGAACACTTACCTTGTTCTAGGCCTTCTGCCAAGTGTTTTGCCTGAGATCTCTAACCTAATTTTTACAACATAGCCATGAATGAGAGATTAAATCCCATTTTCAATTGGGATACAGGTTTAGAGAAGTTAAAAGACTTACCCAAATCTCACCACTATTAAGCAAAAATTTCATTGTTTTTAACAGGGATTCCAAAAGAATTTCTTAAGCATATTTGAAGGAAAGTAATATGAAAATTTTACTTTTATGTCTAAAACTTGAAATGATATAAAATTGCCTACAAATTTTTTTAAGTAGGTCATTTCGAAGTATCAAGAATCAAATGTGTGGAAGAAACTATTAGTGCACATCAAATATCTGTGAGTTCCTCCACAGACTTTTCCTAGCCTGTCCTCCAGTTCAATCAGAACCATGTTTCTAGTTGTGGTCAACAGACTGTGGCATTTATCATCTTCAGCCTGAGTCACTTAAGAGCCTACATGACTCCTTTAACACTCTTCCCCTGTCTTGCCAACCTTGACATGGCATGTCTGCAACATAGAGGATGGTTCACCAGCCTACGTCAGATTTTGTGCAACCCTTGGTTGTGCCAGGTTATTGAAATTTTGAGGCTTAACAGGTTAACCCAGATAGATACCAAGGCAAATCAATTGTAAGTTCTGTTTACACAGTTGCTGCATGTTGGAGCAATAATAAACAGAATATCCTCCATCCTTGGTCAGTGCTATAGAAAATCAGTCTTGAATTATGTAAGTTTTGAATTATGTGAGCAGCCCTTTGTTCAAATGTATGACACAATCAATGGAATAATGAAGAGAGAGTTCAGAATCACCCTGTAGATCTTATCATAAAAGGGGACTTCGGTATTCCCCTGGCCCAGCAGAGTTTTTTATCTCCATGGGTGGGTATTGAACGTCTCAATTCAGGGAAGACCCTTTTGGGTTACTTCCACATCTCTCTGACACAACTGTGATGTTTCAAGGGGGACTGTGAAACTGACTCAGATGATAATATTCTCTTAAATATCTACTCAAGACCCCAGATTTCAGCACACCCTGAATCCTGTGAACCATCCAAGAGACTCAATAGATCACATAGTGCTGAGTGCAGGTTCTTCTCCTAACTCTGAATTGAATTAGTGGTATGGTTTGGGGCATGTCCTTAATCTCTTTGAGCCTTAGTTCTTAATTAATCAAAGAAAATGTGGCCTAGATAATACCTGGAGTTCCTTCCTGCTCTAACATTCTGTGATTCAGTATCCTAACTACCATCTTCATCATAGTGTTACTTTGAGTTCTCCCGTTTGTCTTGGTTTAGGCAACCCTATGGAACATGTGGGATTAAAAAATACATTCAGACCGTAAATTATTTGAAGGCTTCTGGGGAAAAAATTGATGTTTTAAGGAGCCTTAAGGGGACCCACTTCCAGGAATTTATCCTAAAAATATAACTGGAAATGCAGGCACCAAATTAAATGCAATATAGATGTCTAAAATTGGGAGAAAGATTAAATAAACTTTGTAGCCACTAAAAATAAAGTTTTCAAATAACTTACATAACAGGGGATATATTTACTAAAAAGAATAGGATTTTTTAAAAACTGAGAAGGGGCTTTGGGTTCAGACTGACTAGGTATGAATAGCAACTTTATCATCCATTGGCTACATGACTTTGGGCAAGTCATTTAACCTCTAAGTGCCCCAGTTTTCTCTTCTGTAAAATGGGACAAATAACAGTATCCACCTAGTAAAATTAAAATGGGTTACTCCAAAGTAACTAACCCACAGTACTTATTAAACAAGCTCATGTTGTTCTCAACCCACCTCAGATTACCAAAGTAAAACAGAAGTAAGCCCAGGTGAAAATTTTTATTTGGGTACTAACTGCTGAAGAGCAAGAAGCATCCATATAATTCTCTTGGCCGTTATTCATGTACAATCTATAACGTTTCTCCTGCTGTTGTCTTAGAGGGTTACTGGAATCTTCTGCGGCTATTTAATTTCTTGACTGCAATGAGAGAATAGGTCCCTTGAAAGCAGGGACCATAAACCCATTCTTTCTGCTCCCCCATTGGGCCTGGATAGTGCCTTATATGCTACAAAGTTCTAAATGAACAAGAGTAACTAGGCCCTTCTTATAATACAGGGTCATTTACTTAAAAATATCTCCAGTGTGATGTCTCAAAGCGCATTCATACTCAACATACCCCAAAATTGAACTGGTCATAGAATCCACTCACCCACTGGCAGAAAATAGTTTTTCCCCAGTTAGCTATTTTGGTTAACACCACCATTCACTCACTTGTTCAAATTCAAAATATGAAAATTACCCTAGACTCCACCTATATCCCTGAAAACTAATTAGTTATTGAGACCTATTGCCTCTACTTCCTTACCCTCCCCTGCCCCAAATTTGACTGACTTCCCTTAGCCTCTTCAATTGAATCCTCCCTGATGACCCAGACAGGAGAGCATCCCTCTTATACCTTATCAGAATACCCAGTTCTCACTTTAATGAATTCTTAGTGTGATAAGTCATTGAAGGCCTGTCCTTGTCATCAGCCTCTGTGTTCATTACTGTATTATAAGAGCCTATGTAGCAAGTAACTGAGACCTCTCAGAGGGTAGGGGTTTCACTTTTTGAGGCTCCAGGTATATTAAAAAAGAAAGAAAATGCCAAAAGAGAGTTACAAAAATTGTGGTTGTTTTTAAACCACAAGGCACTTAGAGGTGAAATGACTTGCCCAAAGTCATGTAGCTAATGAATGATAAAGTTGCGATTCATACCTAGATTTAACTCATAAACACTTTCGACACACACATAAAATATATGGCTAATGTTGAAAATAACATGAAAAATTAAATTTGGAGCCGTTCCTAGATGTGAAAACTGTAGGCTAAAGAATCTCCCTAAACCACCTTCAAGACCTGCTAACAGGTTCCTGCTGCCCCAAGGGCTGAGCAAACCAGTATAGTTCAGCAGGGCCATTGGGATGTGATAGGGAGCCAATGGGGATGTAAGTAGTTGAAGGCTTTTAAAGGGGGATAGGAAGTGATTGGAGTAAGGGGGAAAGTGAGTCCCTCCCTGTTCCTACTTCAGTTACAAAACTTCTGTATCTTTAGCCTTTTCACCTAAAACAATCTGATGGTTCCAATCATTTTCTGCTTAAATGACCTAAACAGAACGAAGTGAAAGCAGGCTTGCTCTATCTGCCTGACCCAAAAAACCCAGTTGCTCCCAGTGGCACCTCAAATGACATTCATTTTTACTTCATTTTCAATGTGGAAAGAAAAAGTTGCCCAAGTCCTCAAATATCACTTCAATGTCATCTCCTAGATGACACCATTACCCATAGATCTTTTTTTTTTTGTTCCCTGCTTAATGTTCCCCACAGGCACAATTTATTACTTGTAAAAGCCAAGCACTCCAGAGTTTGATTAGATCTTAATCCAAATAACAGACACATCCCCCTTGGAAAGAGAACACAGGGCTTTCCTCACCCGCAAAGCAGAACATACCTGCCAGCCAGCCAGCAGAAACCCCCAGGGAAAATCACCAGGCAAGGAAACAAAAAGGTCCTTTTTCAACATCCTCCCTGCCTGATCTCACCACTTATAACCTCACAAAGGGAAAGTGGTTCACCCAGACCTACAAGGATGCAAAATTCAATCACTGGCTTCCAACTTCAGTTCATTCTAAAAATTCATTCTCCTCCCCCATCCAAAAACCTCTCTGCTCCTAATGACACCAAAATCACCCTCTGGGTTAAAGACGTGATACAACTCTTGATATCCATATTGGCCCCTTTTTTACTGACTGCCCTCCTCCAACACACACACACACACGCACACATACTCATTCAGTACCCAAAAGGGAAATATTTTAAAAACTCCAGCACTTAGAGATAATATTGGGTAGATCCCAAAATCTACATTGGGTGTTAGGTGTTAATTCTCAGTGTTACAGTCACATAAAACACAGACCAGGCCTGTGCACGAAAGGGGAAAGTAACCCAGAGGAAAATATTCTACAGTATCCTTGGTGGCATCTCAACCAAATAGCTAACTCTAATAGAAAATAAATACCATAGAAGAAAACTTAAACCAAAGTTTCACTTTGAGCCGCCACTAAAATGAAGTATTTCTAAATCTTAATTGACTCATATTTTAAGACACATTTGTAAATTCCAATACACTAAACCAATTTGAACTATTTCTTGAGCTTCCCTTTACTATTTGCCTTAACATTCAAAGTAAAGCATATACAAGCATATGTAGTTTTAAATTTTTTTGATTCTCTAGGATTTCATACTAGCACTTTCCCAAATTTCAAATGTTTTGAAAGTTTTTTTAAACTATCCTTACCTTCACACTTTCCTCAATGCCAAGTTCAACTCAGTTCTCTTCTTCCCAGAATTTATAATGGTTCCAGTCTCAAGAAGGAAAAGCAGGCACTGACTGATCTCAATCTAAAACTCTTCTTCCTTGGAGACTAAACCAATGTGCTCATATCTCCTAGAATGAAGTCGAGCAGATGAGCCTTCAGGATGTCACAATTCTGCATAAATGTGAACCTAGAGACCACACCCTTTTGAGCATCATACCTTTCTGTCTAAACTTGTACCATAGAGTGTTTCCCAATGGGACTCACCTTGTTACCCCTCCCACATGACCACTAGCTTCAGGCATGTACTACCCACTGTGAGAACTGAAGCCAGTGGGGCATGCGTGATCTTTGCTATCTCTCTTCCAGGCCATCAAGATGAACATACAGCCCTTGTCCCCAGCTGCCGGTAAGGTGCTCGGTTC